TCCTCTGTGCCTTTTCAAATCTCTGATTTCAGAGGTAGATGGGCAGTGGGGGTGGTAGTCTCAGGTGGGTCCTACTTCCTTTGGAAAGTGCTGTAGGGATATTCCTGGCACCCTTCCTTGGGAGATGCAGTATTTATCACCACTGTCTTCAGCTCTGAGACCAGGGCCCCAAATTCCAAGACCCTAGGAAAATCCCCATTCTGTATTCTGAAAGCTCTGATCCCAGATGCGTAGCTGCTATGAATGGCGATGCCCACCTTCATTCATGGTTCTGGGCATGACTGAAGCCTGCACGCCTCGGAAGGCAGGGTGGGAATGTAGTTACCACGTGGTTTTCTTTCCTAGAGCTCCATGTCTTCAGCCCTCATCTCCAGAGAGGCATCTTCACAGACTAAGATGTCTTTTTGGCCCTTACTTTTTCCAAGTGAGAAATTCTAAGAAGACAGAAGTAGTTCTCAAGGAGAACATAGGCATCCAAACTGATAGGACTTCAAGTGCTACCCAAGTGATGACATCTTTTCAGCTTGGGAACACAAGTTGGTTGTGGTTTTTTTTGTTTTTTTTTTTTTTTCTGAGAGCCATTTGTCACCTTCTCCATCTTAAATACTTTTGAAGTCCAGGTGTCCATGTCCCTTTGCCAAAAAAAAAAACAAAAGACAGGCTCCCTTTTCTCAATGAGATTTATTGTCTTTGAACAAAATGATACAACTATGGAACCAGGTGTGTCGTTGGATGTTAGTTTAATAGCATGGACGTAAGTGGCCAAGTTCTTGTTCTTCTCTGGGCTCTTGTTGCCAAGGAGGAAAGGCTTGGGGCAGAGTGTTTACGGTTGTTGTTGTTTTTCTTTTGCTACGTTTGGTCGTTATTTGTTTTTGATGGAATATTGGCGAGTTGCTAGAGGGTTTGGATTCCTTGAAGCTGCTCCATATTCACCTATTTCTGACTTTGGCAATAATTCCAGGGCCAATCACCAGCTTTCTATATTTATCAGCAGCTGCTTCAATGATGTGGAAACAATTTTCTCAACAGCTGAAAAACATGAAGATACAGAGTAGGACATTTCGTTCTTTATAAAAGAGCTTAGTTGAGATGAGCATGGGAGGAGGGAACAATGCAGCACGAACCTCTTTGTCTCTGCATCTTTCCCACTTTCTCCAGCGTGACATCAGGCCTACGTGGAGGATTTACGGTTTTGCCCAGAGAGGAATGAGTGGGTAGCCTCTGTGGCATATACCAGAATCCTTTGAATCAGTGGATATGAGCCAGTATTCTACTTTCTAGAAGGTAGTCTTTGATTTGCTTGATTTATGTCTTAAGGTTAGGGACGAAGGAGGCTCATCGCCAGCCTCTCCCTCCCACCCAGCTTTACCAGCTGCCTGGCTCTAGGCACTCAGCATTCCGTGAGTGCTTTCCTACAAACCATTATCAAAATCAGTTCTAGAACATCTGCCCTCCATGGGACGCTGCAGGGCACAGAGGATCTGAGAGGTATGGGACACCGCCTGGGAGGTCAGAGGCTTCCAGACTGCAGGGCACTTGGACTAAAGGATTGAATAATAAATGGTGTCATGTCTACAAAGCCCTCACTCAGCACAGAGTGATCAGAGATGTCGCTGTTGCTCTTGAGTTGCGTCTCATCTGCTTTCAGAGCTCTGGGCATTAACGTGTTTGTCCAGAGAGTGAGACGTAGAATCCAGAAACATGGCTTCTAGTCCCGGCTCTGCTCCCACCAGAGAAAGGTGGAGCCGCATTGAGAGGCTAACATGAACCAAGCGTCCTGAGTGTCGTGCAAAGCATGTCACAGTGCAGGGTATCTGTCCTCATTGCAACCTAGGAAGAGGGCCAGCATTTCACAGACGAAGTGAGTGTTCAGATACTGTCACTTCCCCCAAGTTAACATCGAGTCCTCCTAACTCTAAACCCTGGACTCTTACCACTCCAGGCCTCTGTCTCCCTAGATCTCAGCGCTGTGCAAGAGGAGACCCCATGTGGCTCTACCAACCACCCCCCCACCATGCCCAACTGTCTTCGGTTTGTAGAATTGAAAGCCATCTCTAAAGTTTATTTTCTGACTTAAAAATATCTACCAGCCCCTTCCTTAGTATTTTAAATCTTTACTGCCACCTAGTGGACTTGATCTAATCAGAAGGATGAAAAATCCAGTTCAGCTTGGATTAAAAACAGTCAATTCATCTTAAATTCATCCTGTGCTCCTAACCTTTAAAAATTGTATTTATGGGCAAATATCATGGCCTTCAATTTTTATCCCTGTAGTAAACTTCCAGATGTGAGATCCCTTTATAAGATTTTTGGTGGGTTTCTGGGAAACCTATAAACTCCTGCTTTGAAAAAAAAATAATAATACTGCTTTGTGATCATATTATACACACTCAGCTAATAATGGTCTATACTTACAGAATTCTAATCTGAAATATTTAGAACTCGTATAGCAGTTATATTTCAACTTTATAAATACTTATTTGCTTAACTTTTTTTTTTTTTGCATTCTCATGGTAACAAAAAAATAATAATTCAGACAACACAGAGGATGTGAAGTAAAAAGTCCTCCTCCACAGAAGGAACTATCTTAAGAATTTCTCATTTTTTTCAAGAAATGTTTTATTTCATATACAAGCATGTGTACAAACACACACACACTGTTTGCTGATTTTTCATAAATGAGCTTATGTTATGTGTACTGTTCCACAGGTTGCTTTTTTCAACTTAATCTATTTTGGACATCTTTCCATGTCAGCACACAAATCACCCTCTTTCTTTTTTTTTTTTAATTTTTTTTAATGTTTTTTATTCATTTCTAGGAGAGAGAGAGAGAGACAGCATGAGCAAGGGAGGGTCAGAGAGAGAGGGAGTCACAGACTTTTATATTTTCTTTTTTCTTTGAGCTGGCAGTCAGCACAGAGCCCGACGCGGGGCTCGAACCCACGAACCGCGAGACCATGGCCTAAGCGAAAGCGGACGCTTAACCGACTAAGCCACCCAGGCGCCCCACCCTCTTTCTTTTTAATAGGACATAGTATTCCATTACTGACTATACTCTAATTAATTTAACCAGTTCCTCATTAATGTCCATATAGGCTATTTTCAGTTTTGTTGTTACAAAAGTGCTGCAGGGGATAAATTTGTTTTCTTCAGGGAATACGTGCACGGCCATATGCCAGACACACACACACATGCACACTCATTCGTGAGTTTGTAGGCTAAGATATTAGACGTGAATTTTCTGGATCTAAAGGTGTATTAATACCCAGTGACCAAGATCACCAGAAACACACCTGTAGTCAAAAAAAGAAGGAAAAGAAGAGGAGGAGGAGGAGGAAGGGGGGAGGGGGAGAAGAAGAGGAAGAAGAAGAAGGGGGAGGGGAGGGGGAGAAGGGGGCTGAGGGGGAACAGGAAGAAAGGAGGAAAAAGGTCAACTGCTTCAAGGGGAGAACACAAGGGGAGTGGAGCACTGTCGTAGGGTGTGAGCTCTTGCTGGGTGGTAGCAAGGAGGAGTCAGGGCCGAGGGAGCAGTTCTGGGCTGAGTACTGGCAAGATGCAGAAGCAGGTCGGGCGCCTGGGTGGCTTAGTCGGTTAAGCGTCCGACTTTCGCTTAGGTCATGATCTCGCGGTTCGTGGGTTCGAGCCCCGCGTCGGGCTCTGTGCTGACTGCCAGCTCAGAGCCTGGAGCCTGTTTCAGTCTGTGACTCCCTCTCTCTCTGACCCTCCCCTGCTCACGCTGTCTCTCTTTCTCTCTCTCCTAGAAATAAATAAAAATATTAAAATAAAAAAAAAAGATGCAGAAGCAGGTCAGTGATTGGGCACCTCAGTAAGTTTTTGTAGGAGGAGAGAGTTAAAGTAGGGCCAGGAGTGTCACTAGCAAAGGAGCAGCAGTCACACAGGTGGTCGGAAGAGGGGGGTGTTTTGTTTTGTGTGCCCAAGTGGCCTTGTCTGGGCATTGCTTTATCCCGTGAGTGTTTCTCACAATCTGCTGGGGACGTGATGGTCAGTCTCCCGGCAACGCTCGGTTTCATTGGCTCAGGTTACATTGACTTCAAATGTCTGTGGATGTTTACGTTGCTTTTCCAAAAGGTTACATTAATCAACATTCTTCTGGGTTCTTTTAAATACTCAACTTCCCTAACAAAGAAGTATTTAATAATCAGAGTAATGGTAATTATAATACTAGGAAGCGCTTATAGGGACACCTCCCATGTGCCAGCCACTGTGTTAACTCTATTATTTCATTGAATCCTTATTGAAGACTTGAGACAGGCATGAATAGCATCCCAGCTTCCACATGAGGAAACCAAGGCTTAGAAAGGGGGAGAACCAGCCTGGTCGCCTGGCCGGCCAGCAAGTGTTGAGCTGGGTTCCGAACCAGGCCGGCTCCTTCCAGAGCCCACGCCCTTTCCCGCAAAGAAACGCTTTCTCCTTTGTCTTCTTCACAGGAACCTGCCACGGAGAATTTAAAGCTAGGGAATTAAGAGCTGTTAAACTGATGATCACAAATCTTCAACAGTCTGGTTCAGGATGATAAGGAAGTCGAGAGTCCCATTTACAAAAATGAGATCCACGGGCGGCTTTCCAGGAATCACACGTGTATTGTTAAGTGAGGCCTCCAGCACGAGAGACTTAGCTACTCACATGTGCCCTCAATTAATAGAGGCCTAGGAGAGCTTCCTGAAAGTCACAGCCAAAGCAACGTAATACATATTCTCTGGGCTGGCTGGAGCTCAGAGAGTATTTAAATAATCCCCAAGGAATAAACGGATGAAGGCCATCCATCCCCGTGGACCCACTGAGGTTCATGAAGTTTCCATGCTGTGCGAGCATGGCAAGGACTTGGTGCAGGGAAGGAGAGTGGGATGACGCGGTGCCTCAGTAAATATTTGTTGAGTGTGGGGGGTGGGGGGTGCACACTGGGGGTTCATAGCCGGCACGCATGCGTGGACTTAGCAAAACAAATGTGGGAGTCACTGCTGGCTTCTGCTCTTTTCCAGACTGCGCTGGCTGCGGACGGGACATCAAGAATGGGCAGGCGCTGCTGGCCCTGGAGAAGCAGTGGCACTTGGGGTGCTTTAAGTGCAAGTCCTGCGGGAAGGTGCTCACCGGGGAGTACATCAGCAAGTAAGGCTGGGGCGAGGGACGCTTCCAGTGGGGCCTGCTCTGGGGAGGGGAACCCCCAGCCCACCCCATCGGTCGTAATGAAAGACATTCACACGCCACAATCAATAGGATCTTTCACGATACTACTGTTTTAGTTTTTATAAAAGGAATTTTATTATTCTGCTGTTGCTATAGTTTGCCCACAATAAATTTAAAGAAGTGTTAATCACTGCCTAATTTAACAATGAACAAAGCTGACGTAATGTTACACTGTATGTTATAACCAATTCTTTAGTAATTTTACTTTCCCTAATTTTTTTTTCCCTATTTGGAACTAGTAGACCTTTGCCCTCCTTCTAGGTCTTGAATGTATTTGTTGACACCTTCCCCCACCCCACCGCCCCACCCTAAAGAAAAACACACAAGGTCTAACCACTGAGTCCATTAGGGCCAAAGAATAATACAGCCCACCAGGGAACTGGTTCATGTTAGAGTCAGGTGCTGGTGTGAATAATAACCAAAGTAAGTGAAGTTCTTTTTTGTTTTGTTTTTATAATGTAGCCTGAAGAAACTAGTTACAGTGGTTGCCTTTTTTTCAAGTTTTTAAAATTTTGAGAGAGAGTGAGAGAGCAGGGGAGGGACAGAGAGAGGGAGAGAAAGAATCCCAAGCAGGCTCCACACCATCAGCGTGGAGCTTGACAAGGGGCTGGATCTCACAAACCATGAGATCATGACCTGAGCCGAAATTAAGAGTCAGACGCTCAACTGACTGAGCCACCCAGGTGCCCCTGCAGTGGCTACCTTTGGTTTAAAGAGGAACGAATGAGTGTGGGGGTCCAATGGCAGTGAGGAAGAATTTATTTTCCTCAATAAACAAACAAACCGGGCAAATGTATATCAACTGTTCAAAAAAAAAATTAAGTGAATTTAAGAATACAGTGAAACAGGGGCACCTGGGTGGCTCAGTCGGTTAAGCGTCCAACCTCGGCTCCGGTCATGATCTCATGGTCCATGAGTTTAAGCCCCGCGTCAGGCTCTGTGCTGAAAGCTCAGAGCATAAAGCCTGCTTTGGATTCTGTGTCTCCTTCTCTCTTTGCCCCTCCCCTACTCGCACTCTGTCTCTCTCTCTTGCTCTCTCTCAAAAGCAAAAAAACCTTAAAAATTAAAAAAAAAAAAATACAGTGAAACAAACAAAAAAGTAGTGTGGGCCCCTCCTCCTAGAAATCTAATTCTGTAGTCCTGGGAGAAGCTGAAACACCCGTATCAGAAGGAAAAAGCTTCAAGAAAGAGAAAAATGCCCAGCTATTAAACGAACACAGAAGGCAGCGCGGGAGTAGGTAATTGGGATGTCAACAGTGGTGCTTCTTAACTTTTCCACTCATAGTGGCACACATAGAAAGCAGTATTTTTTTCTGTGCTCTGAGGTAAGTGAATAAGGAGGGTTCGAGAGGCTGGGTGATGAAGGCCCTGTGCCCCTCAGGCCTCCTGACAGCTGAAGACATGGCGTCCCGGGCTCTGGCGTGTGCGCTCCAGGAAGTGGTGGGGGTGCGCACTGAGACCACATCTGAAGCCCATCTGGCCTGGTGGCGAAAGAGAACGGTGCCCACGTTTTGCTAGTTGGGCCTGAGACAACAGGGGGGCAGCCCCGGTCACCATGTGGCCATTGGGCTGGTATTTCTGTGAAGCCCAGAGAGCCACAGCCCTCTCTCCACGTCGTGTGGTCTCATGCATTTTGATCACGTCTGACCAGATCCCCAGGCGTGGCAATGCCGGGTGGGAGAGCCTCACGTCGCTCCCCCATCCTTCTGTGGAAAAGGCCTCTGAGAAATGTGGGGCTGGGGTCTTCCCTCAGCCTCCTCTCAGACGCTGATCTCTTGCGTTGCAGGGACGGCGCTCCGTACTGTGAAAAGGATTACCAGGGGCTCTTTGGGGTGAAATGTGAAGCCTGCCACCAGTTTATCACAGGGAAGGTCCTGGAGGTGAGTGACACACGGGCTCCCTTCAGAGCTACCGTCGTTTTCCTCAGAGGTCGGCAGAACCACAAAAGAGGCTCTCGTTCCATTTTGTTTGTTTGTTTGTTTGTTTGTTTTTTCCGCCTATGGAGGAAAGAAAGTAGTGGTAGCTGACCTCTTTTGAGATTTAGCATGTGTTGTCTTTACAGGCAGTTTCTACTAAATGTTCATGTGGAAACCAGAGTGATGGACAACTTATCAAAAGTGATAAAAGGACTCTTAGGAACTATGTAGAAGGAAGGGGTGTATGAGACTATTTTTATTTTTAGAAGTCAGAAACTGGGAAACAAAGAGCGTGTTGAGCCACGTGTGCGTATGGACCTGTGTGCGTGCGTGTGCGCCTGTGTGGGAGTGCACACGTATGTGCTTGTACGTGGGGTGTGCATGTGTGCGTGCAAGAGTGCTTGGACTCCAGGAACGAGGGCTCAGAATTGAAGCCGGGAAAAGAAAGGGTGGGTGAAAAGTGAAGGCACACACCTCCCGCCCTTAAAAAACCACATCCTGTGCCACCCAGCACGCCCTGCGCCCTGTGGCTCGGGCCGAACCCAAGCCCGGCGGGGTCAGGTGTGACTGCCTCGCGCCACAAAGCCTGCTTCCTGTTTCTCCCGCGCTGGGGGATCGGGGGCCGCAGGTGAGGGGGAGGCCCTGCCCCACTTCTTACCGGCCTGTGGGGTGTTAACCCGATCTGATAAAGAAAAGATTGCCTCATAGCCATCGCACATTTCAGGGTGGAGAAAGTGTCCTGGGCAGAGGTAAGTCAGGACGCCTAGCAGCTGGGAAGGCCACCAACTGGTCCTGCAGCCTTGGCAGGCACCAGGGCACCGGGGCCACATGACCACATTCGAACCTTCTAGCAGGGCGTTTCAGAGACCGAAAGCAGAGAGGCCCCCAGTGACTCTGGGCAGCCTCTGTGGGATTGCACAGCAAGGTCTAGCTTAGATTTCCTAATCCCACAGCAGGCTGGGGGTGGGGGTGGGGGGGCTTCCTTCCCAGGAAACACCGAGGGGCTGGTGTTGGCTCTGTGCCAGGGCCTAATTGGATTTGGGCAATAAGGAAGTGACTGTTACATGCACTTGCTTTCTGCCCAGGGGAAGGGTGTTCCAGGAAGGGGGAACAGCCTCCCTAAAGGTCCAGAGGCGAGGACGAAACAAAAAGTCAGATGGGCAGGAGCGCAGGTGTGAGAGTTGCTGCTGGAGGAGTGGGGGAGGGGTCAGAGCAAGTGGACTTCCAGGGTCCGAGTCAGGAATTTGGGCTTTTTCCTAAGAATGCTGGGGAGCCATTGGAGGGACTGTAGCCGGAGCTGAACGTGATTGGATCACACTGCTGTAGAAAGAATGCCTGGGGGTCCCCAGATACTCCTAAAACCATGTCCGTGGCAGCTCTGTTCACAACAGCCAGAAGGTGGAAACAACCCAGTGTCCATGCATGGATGATGGACCAACATCACGTAGTATATACAGATAAGGAATAATATTCAGCCTTAAAACGGAAAGGGTTTTGATACCTGCTACAATATGGATGAACCTTGAAAGCATTATGCTAAGTGGAAGAAGCCAGACACCAAAGGCTACATACAGTTTGCTTCCATGTACATGAAATATTCAGAATAGATAAATCCATAGAAATCGAGAGCAGATTGGTGGTTGCCTGGAGCTGGGGGAGGGGGAAAGAAGGGTAGCTTGTTGGTACCCAACTAGAGGTGTGAAATGTTTTGGAACAAGTTAGAGGCGGTAAATGCACAGCATTGCGCCTGTCCTAAATGCCACAGGCGGGGAGGCCGGCTAGGAGACTTCTGTAGAACTCGGGGCACAAAACAATGGCGGGAGGGGAATCTGAGAGGAGGGCCCACCCTCCCACATAGTTGGGGGGCCAAGAAGAGTTTCCATGGCCTTTCCAACAATGGTTTTAATTTCCAGCCCAAGTGTGTTCAGTGCTGAGGTTTTGACCCTCCATGACGTGCATCGCAGGAAGGCTATTGGAGAAGATGGTTGTGACCTGTCCAAAGTGCAGCATGAAGTCCAGGTGGCCATGTCACAGGGTTATGTGCTCCCCACCTGTCCCCTGAACATGTCCCTTGTCCCTCCCTGGAGCCCTAGGGGAGGGGCTCGCAGCATTTCCTTAGGAGTTCCCAAGTGTGATCTGTGCAGGACTAAAATAAACCTGTTGAGTTGGGAGCAACTGGGAAATTGCATTCAAAAACAGTAATAATAAAATATCAGAACCATCTCGCAGATGTTCATCTGTAGGAAAAGCAGTGGGAAGATACTGAGCATAGGCCCCAGATTTGAGCCATGTTTACAGAAGGTGTGGATCGAAACAGCTGTCTCAGTCCGCATACGCAACTGTGTTCCCCAAAAGAGTTGAGGCAGTAGGCAGGGTGGGGGAGGGGGCTGTCAATGACCTCAGACTTAGTTCCACAGCTGTAAGAAGGAACAGATCATTTTGAAGAAACATCTGCTTACTCCAGTTCCTCCCTGGAGTGAGTGTTGGCTGTGGCTGCGAGAGCTTCTCACCAGATTGACCTCGGGTTTCAGCGAGGTCCTTCTGGAAGGTGGAAGTCATGGAGGCTTTGCACACAGTGCCTTCAGATTTGGGACTTCTGGGAGTCATTCACACTGGCTTCATGGTAGAATCAAGACGCGCCCAGTGGGTGTACTGACCTTCTCCAATGGGTGTGATCTAGAAAAATGTCCTGCCTGTGTAGCGCCCTGACATGTGGCTGCTTCTGAGTCAGCTTGGCTTGGTTACCAATATCAAACAGGACCGGTCTCAACACTCCGCCCTCCTCCAGTGCCTTCCTTCTCAGACCCCATGGTTGCAACATTGTGATTGTGAATTTGTAAGTGCTGTGATCTTTGCCTTTTAGGGTTTTTTCCCCCTCAATTTTAAAAATGTGGTACGATGAACATAACATGAAATTTGCCATCTTCATCATTTTTAAGTGTACATTTCAGTGGTATTAAGTGTATCCATAATTTTGTGCAATCACGACCACCATTCACCTCCATGATGCTTTACAGCTTATAAAATCGAAACACTATGCGTAACACTAAATCCCCGCTCCCTCTTCCCCCTCGTGCCCCGACAACAACCATCCTATTTTCTGTCTCTATGAATTTGACAACTTTAGCCACCTCATACAGGTGGAATCCTACAGGGTTCAGGGTTTTGTGTGTGTGACTGGCTTATGTTATTTCGCACAATGTCCTCAAGATTCATCCATGTTGTAGCAAGTGCTGGAATTTCCTTCCCTTATGACTAAGTGATATTCTATCATATGGATAGACCACATTTTGCTTGCCCGTCTATGATCCTTAATTTTTTGTTAATGTTGTTTTTTTCAGATTGATTTTATCCATAAAGATTGTAAATGTATTCATTTCTTGCATCTGCTCCAACAGTGATGGCTTAGAAACGTCTCTCACAGTGTTCTAGAGGCCAGAAGTCCAAAACTGAGGTTCCGGCAGGGCCACACTCCCCCCCAGAGCCTCTCGGGGGGAGCTCTTCCTTGCCCCTTCCAGCTTGCGGTGGCCCGTGGCAGCGTGACCCTGATCTCTGCCCTCATCTTCACGTGACCTTCGCCTCTGTGTCTTCTCTCTATATCGCCCCTCCCTCTGCTTTGCTCTTCGAAGGACACTTGTCATTGGATTTAGGGCTCACCCAGAAAATCCAGGATGATCTCGTCCCAAGATCCTTAGCTTAATTATTACATCTCCAAGGACCCTTTCCCCAAACATTCACAGGCTCCAGACATTTTATGGGCCACCCTTCAAGCCCACTCCAGTAAAGCTGCGAACTTCTACAAGTGTCCTCCAGGGACTCTCACTAAGTATCAGAGGTGCTCGACAGCCTATTCTCTGGTTGGTTTCGCCTGAGAGGCCGTCAGACACGCAAGGAAACTTCGAGAAGGAGCAAGGTCACTGGGGAATGATCAAGAAGGTCCAGGCTCAGCTTTGTCACTAATTTCTGAGTAATTTTGGACAGGTTATTGAGACTGTCTTTATTCCACTAGTAAGGAGAGTGGCATGTTACCTCCAAAACTCCACCCTGCTCTACAATTCTATCTTCCTATGTTATTACTTTCATAGCCATGAACCCTACTAATCACATTGACTTGACAGGCTGGGTAGAGAGCCCTCGTGTGTTTTAGTGAAAAGGGCTCCACATGATAGGGAATCAGGGATCTGCTCCTGGCTCTGGAGCTCCCAGCTGGCAGGCAAGCCTCAACTTCTTTGAGCCTCAGTTTCCAGTATAAGTATTAAAAATATATATGTAAATCCAAGCCTGGGACTGCTTGACTCCCAGTTGGCCCTTAGGACCCAAGTTCTGTAATTCTCGTGTCTCCGGTCTAAGGAGTCAGGGTTAGCAGTTCTTTCTTCTGGAGAGATTTTCCTGGAAACTGGCACATAGCGTACACTCAAATTGTAGCTCTGTTTATCATCAGCTGGCTTTCAAATTTGTTTTCAGCAACAAGAGTCTCTTTTTTGAGAGGTCTTGCTATAAATGGCACATCTTTAAAAGCTTATGCTAATTAACCTATAAATTCAGGAGCATTCTGAAGATGTTTATAACCTGCCTCCTAATTAAGTCCGGAATCAAATTAGTGTGAAATACTCAAGTTTGCCAATAGCTTGCTATCCATCTGCACCTCTAAACTCTTCTCTGAAGCAACCTTCCTCTTCCTTTACTTCCCACTCCTGACTGCTCCTCTCCCCTGCTCCTGCTTTAGCAGACTAATGGTGCAGGAAGCCACACGAGACTTCGGACTTAGGTCACACGTGTCAGGAGACATCGGGCATCCCTTTGGTATGAATTTCCTTCCATTTCTGGTGAATGAGCCCTCAGAGATCTCTTATTCCAGCAAAATCCCTTTCCTGGGTATGGGAACGTTGTTACCTGCCAACTTCATAAAGCAAGAAAACAGCAACAAAACCGTTCGAAAATGAAGGCAGCACTGGGAAAAAAGA